TTTTATTTTATTTTATTTTATTTTATTTTATTTTATTTTATTTTATTTTTTGCGGTACCAGGGATTGAACTCACGACCTTGCACTTGCCAGGCAAGTGTTTATTCTACTGAGCTAGCTCCCTTGCCCATGAGATTTAGAATGGGACCCAGAAGAACTCAAGGAAAAGGTGAACATAAAGTTGTTCTCTTTCTCAAGGTAAAAGAAAAATTTAAATAATTCCAAACATCAGACAATTTAAAAACATTTGTAATAGTCTTTGAAATGCCACTGATACAGTTTTTGTTGTTGGTGTTGTTTGAGACAAAGTCTTGCCCTGTAATTCAGGATGGTCTTGAACTCTCTATATATCTTAGGCTGGCCTGTGACTCCCAGTAATCCTCCTGCTTCAGCCTCCCAAGTGCTGGGATTATAGGGGTGTGCCACCATGCCCAACTATTGGTGCAGTTTTTAAGAGTAAAATGATGTTATGGTTTGTTTAGGCAATGTGTTAAAATCTTAGGATTTCATAAGCAAATCCCATTTGGGTAGCAACAGTAGGTAAGCCAGGCGCTATGCAGAAGCCCAATTCAGCATTTCAATGTGGAACAAAAAAATATGGCAAAGAGATAATTTATGCAAAGAAACTGAGACTTCATGGTGCATCATGGGAGCTTTATACAGATGTATTGTCAAGAGTTGAGATAATCCCAGACTAAGCAAAGTAAATAAATTGGAGAGTTCAAAAATAAAGAAGAATTGGGCTGGTGAGATGGCTCAGTGGTCTAAAGCACCTATTTAAAACAAGCTTGGCAAAGCACAGGGACCGCGGTTCAATCCCCCAGCACCACATGCCAGCCAGCCCTGCCCCCTGGTGGGCTGAGCTGACCCCCTCCTCACATAAATAAATAAAATAAAATAAAATTAAAAAAAATAAAAATAAAATAAAGAAGAATAAGCATATATTTTACAATTTATCTTTTACTGAAGAAGTTTTATGTGACATATAATTAGTAAAACTAAAGGAAAGATTACTGATGCATCAACAATCCTAAACAATAAATTTTTCAGTATTATTTTTTACAATCTTCATATACATTTTTATGTTTACAATTACAGTGTACATTTTTATCCTCTTACATACTATCGTACAGCTTCTCTGTTGTAAAAAATATGGATAAACATCATTTAGAAAGTATTAATGCAAGATTTCAAAACTACAAAAAAGTATAGCCAACAATATCATGAACTATAGCCCAGTCATCATCGAGATGGGGTGGTCATCAGTTCTTAACTGACCTTGTTTCACCTGCATGTAACCTCTTCTTCTTCTTCCTTTTTTTTTTTTTTTTTTTTTCGGAACCAGGGATTAAACTCAGGCTCCAAATGCTGTTTTGTTGTTTTTTTTTTTTTTTTTTGGGAACTGGGGATTGAACTCAGGCCCTTGCACTTGCTAGGCAAGCATTTATTCTACTGAGCTATCTCCCGGGCCCCCCTGGGTTATTTTAAAGGAACTTCCAACATCATATCATGTCTAAGTATTGCAGTCAGTATTCCTCATTTACCATAGCTACAAAATAAGTCATTGGCTAGGGGACAGTATAAAACATACAAATTTATTTATTTATTTATTTAGGAGAGTCTACAGGATCTACAGGGTCTCACTATGTAGACTGGACTCGTAGTGATTCTCCTGTTTTCAGCCTCCCAAGTGCTGGGATTACAGGCACATGCCCAGTCTCAGTCTCTGTCTCAGTGGGCCTTGGGGGTGGGGCTGGCACTGCAAGCAGGGGATCGAACCCAGGCTGCTGCGCTCTGTCTAAGCAAGTGCTTTAGAAATCATTTATTTATTGCTAGATATTTTATTCTGATTTTTCACTGTGATAAATGACACTATGATATTTTCTTGTGTACAGCCACAATTTATAGCAAGTTACAGGGCCGAGGAGATGGCTCAGTGGAATAAGTGCTGTCCTGGCAAGCTCAAGGGCCTGAGTTCAATCCCAGGTTCCACAAAAAAAAAAAAAAGAATTTATAGCAAGTTACAGCAGGAAATTCTTGGGTAGAAGCATATAAACAGTTTTATGGTTCTATATGAATATTTACAGGTTGTTTTTTTTTAAATTTTCTGTATTGGGTACAGGGTCTCACTATGCAGCTTGGACTCATAGTGATCCTCCCGTTTCTACCTCCTCAGTGCTGGAATTACAAGTGTGTGCCACCACGCCCCGTCTTGGTGGCCAGCACGGCATGTGGTACTGGGGATCACGCCCAGGTCCTGTGCTTGCCCAGGCAGGTGCTTAGACCACTGAGCTATCTCTGTGGCTCTCCAAGTGTGTTTTTAACATGTTGGTAGCAATGCAGAAGTCACCTGATGTGTCCAAGATGCTGTATCCTTATCAAAATCATTACCACTTAAAAAAAAACACTTCTATCTAGCAGAAAGAAAAATAGCATTTCATTCTTGGTAAATTTAAGGAAAAAGCTTTGTTTTGATGCTGAGTAGGAATGAGGGTATTTCAAATGCATAACATTGTCCAGAGGAGAAGCAGGTAGCAACTGCCAGCAAGAGTGGTGGACATGTGGCTCGCAATCTCCTCCCTGTGCGTTTTCTCTCTTGGAGGGGTCCTGCTATCCAGGTGAAAAGGGGAAGCAGATACCATATGAATCAAATATAACAAGCATTGGGTGTTGGTGGGACATATTGATCTGATGTTCCAGAGGGTGAGTTCTAAACCTCACCTTAGTACATAAAAGACACTGTGCAAAAACTTCCCGTACACATACACTGCTGAATTTAAGAGATACAATCTATCTCTTAAATCTGACTGTTGTTCATTTTTATTTAACCAATGTGATGTGGTAAAAGGAATGTTCTAGAACTTCAAAGTCTATGTCAAAAGAAGCTTTGCCACTTCCTCCTGGTCTCTTGGATAACTCCTTCTGAGGACAACTTCTTTTGAAACCCAGCTTCAAAGCTGTGAGAAGCTGAAGCCAGGTAAAAATGCCATGTGCAAGGAGTCTGGTCGACATTCCCAGCTGGGCTTTCACCCTTAAATCAGTGTCACCTCCTGGTCATTCTGCTTATTCAGCTACAGCAAGCTTTCAGATGGCTCCAGACTACAAGTTCTAGGGCAACGCAGGACAGAACTGTCCAAAGGAACACAGCCAACCCACAGGAACATAAGAGAAAACAATAAATTACTGTTTCCAGCTGCTGCACATTGGAGTGGTGTACCAGACAATACTAATACACCACCACACACTCACTACCAACTACCCTTCACCTTACATAAGTGAATTAACATCTTTAGAGCTCAGCCTTCTCATCTGTAAAATAAGGAAATGAGACTAGAAAATCTCAAAGGTCGTCTTAAACCAAGCGATTCTATATCTTCATTTATCAAGACTGCCTCAGAAAGATGGTCAATGGTATGTCTGTGTTGTGTTTTATTTTTTCTTACTGAAATAACCATATTCAGGTGAGATCACTTCAAAATAACCCAAGGCCCTCTGGGTAAAACAACTGTTTAAGGAGGACTGAAAGAAGTAAATGATACCTAATGAAGAAAGAACTGCAAGAACAGTGCAGGTTTAACATGACTTTTCACTCCCTCCTGCCCCCCCCAAAAAACAAAGCCCAAACAAGTAAACAAAACCAGGAACTACTTACTCTCCGTTGTATTTAGTGCGTTTAATAGCATTAATTGTTTTATCCAATTTGTGTATTGCTTTGAAAACTTCGCCATAGCCACCTTTGCCAATTAGTTCTATGTTTTCATAAATCCTGGTAAACCTTAAAGATAAATATCACCATTATTCTAAGGTGGGCAGTCTGTTCCCCACCCGCCCACCCACATGTTCTTATGTGAAATGTATAGTTAACATGACTTTCCCTTTCTAACTATGAAAGGTTCGTTTGATTCACAAGGTATGGCCCCTTCTCCTTTTCCTCCCTCTGCCATGGAGAGTCCAACATAACAGATCATCCTGGGGGTCATAGTCAACTCTTGGCTGTACAGAAGTCCTGACAAAGAGTCCACTCATGAATATGAAACTTCAGAAAGAACTGCCCTATTGGATTCTTTTTTTTTTAAACATTTATTTATTTATTTATTTATTTAGTGTGTGTGTGTGTGTGTGTGTGTGTGGCCAGCTCAGCCCACCAGGGGGTGGGGCTGGCTGGCATGTGGTGCTGGGGGATTGAACTGTGGTCCCTGTGCTTTGCTAAGCTTGTTCTAAGTATGTGCTTTAGACCACTGAGCCATCTCACCAGCCCCTGCCCTATTGGATTCTACAGCTACTACCAAGCTGTTACAAGAGATGTCTGTTCTAGCATGTATGTTCTAAGCCTGCCTTGTTTCTGTCTTTTTTCTCTACCCCCGTATTCTATCACTAAGCTTCAACGAATCATCCAAAACTCATTACTGGCACCTGCCCACTTCTCTCCACCACCTTCACCCTGGTCCATGGTTCCACCAAGGTCTGCAGGCGCTTACCTGGGCACTCACTTCCTCCTCTGAACCCACTCCAGATCACACGACAACCAGGGCGAGCATGTCTTTCTCTTGCTTAACCCCCTCATAAACCTACTTTACATTTGGCAAAAATGAGAAAGCCCATGTAGGACACACAGGAGCCATGTGACATCCTCGCAACTCCTACCCAGGGTCATCCTATGGCACTGTGCCCATCCATGTTCACTGTAGTCTGAGCACACGACCTTTTTCTCCTCAAGCACACGTCACCTTGTCCCTTTCACCTTCCCACCCACTCTACTTTTCACCCCTCTCTCTGTTCTAACATGTCATTCAGGTTCCACGTAAACACAGCCTCAGAGCTGGGCATGGTTGTGCACACCCCCCAGCACTTGGGAAGCGGAGGCAGGAAGCTCAATGTGAGTTCAAGACCAGTCTGAGCTACAAAGTGAGCTGAAGGCCAGCCTGAACTGAATAGTGAGACCCTGTCTCAGAAGGACATAAATATGCCTTGCTTCACCCCTCACACCAAATCCAAGGGTCATTTCCATTTTTCACCATTCTACTGCTTTCCTTCTGGAAGAATGACTGTACTCTGTACTTACAGACTTTTTAATTTTTTTTTAAATGTATTTAGTACAGGGCCTACAGGGTCTCACTACACAGATTGGACTTGTAGTGATTCTCCTGTTTTCAGCCTCCCAAGTGCTGGGATTACAGGCCCATGCCACCACACACAGTCTCAACTGCTGTCTCAGCTAGCCCCAGGGGTGAGGCCAACAGGGCAGGCTGGGAATCAAAATCTGGCCCCTGTGTCTGCCTAAGAAGGTACTTTATCCGCTAAACTATCTGGCCAGCCCTATAATTACAGACTTCGAATGTAATTAGTTATTGAATGTAAGTCATCCCTTTAAAACCTCATGAAAGCTGGCAAGCGCGAGGTCCAGAGTTTTATTCCTGCTAAAACAACCAAATAAACCTCACAAACACCCCTTGATTTTTGACCCCATGAAAGGAGGAAGTGGTTCTCTTTGTTCTGACATTCAGCACAGTGCCAGGTATATAGTAGACAATTAATAAATATTTATTATTTTTAACTTATATTTAATACTCTGATATTTCAAAGCATTAAATTCATTTTATACCTAATTTAAATACAAACACAATATCTCCCCCAAAGAGATTCTTTCTACAAGTGAATTCTGGCGTAGAGCTGGAAAACAGAAAACAAATCCAATTGCAACTATTCTGATTCCTGCAGAACATTTTTTGTAGAAACAAAACAAAAAGCACTACAAGAATACGTGTTTTCAATATAAAAGATTCCCATAAATGTCAGGAAACTCACCTAAGCATCAAAGAGATCTGTATTCACCACATTCCATTTGAATTCATCTAAACCTTCCTTCTCCAAGAGACAAAGGCTGCTTGTGGGTCTGCCTGTGCTACAAGTCCTCACTGCTCAGGTGCAAATAGAATTTAATTTTCACTTGGCCCTGAAGAAACTGTTTTTGAATGAGCAAACCTATCTGTAAGTAAATCTGATCCCGCAGCCCCTTCTTACCAGTCGTTCACAGTATACTTGCTGTTTTCCACATCAGAATGGTTAAATTTAGGTGCCAAGGTTCTAAAAGTAAGACAAGAATGCAAACTCAAATAAAACTGCCATCAAATATAAGTTGTTTAGACATGGTTTTATTCCTTGCACTGGGCTTTTTATACTTTGCCTCAACTATCTGAATAACAGGGGAGTCAGTGTTCATGGTTTTATGAAATTATTTCCTTATGGTTCTACATCTGCTAATAACTTTAGAGCCCTCTGCTGGCCTCCTTCCACCCTCACACAGCCACCACTACCACGTCACTAGTCCTGTGCTGTCTCCAGGTTTGGAACTCCAGGCAGTGCATCTCCAGGCACCCTTCTTCTACTTCTATTCCACATAGGAATTGAAGGCATCTCCTGTAGCTGGAAGTTCCAACACCACTTTAGACATATCTGCATTGCTATCTTCCCTCCAAGTCCTTCATCTTCCACTTCCTTAATATCAGCAATACCGGAATTCCTGTCTGTAGCCCATTCAAGATGGAGCAATCTTTAGGCCTCTTTCTCGTTTTTCTCTTTGCCCTCTTACCTTGCTCCTGCACTTTGTCCCCTGGGTCACATCTACTCTTCCTTTATAGTCTTTGTTACAAATTTTCCTCACTGCCCCAATAATCACAGCCATGGGCCCATTAGCTCACACACAGACTTCTTTTTCTCCAGCCAAACATTCGCACCAGGAGTCATCTTTCTTTAGTGCATCCACCCACTATTTAGGACATATGAGACTCATTCTGACTCCTGTGGTCCTGTCACTCTCATTTCTGACTATCTTTACATCTTTGCTTTTCCTTTAAGGAAATCAACTCATCATAATTTACATAATATTTGGAGAAATATATATATATATATTTGGTACAGGGTCTCACTAGGCAGCTCAGACTCTTAGTGATCCTCCTGTTTTCAGCCTCTCCAGCACTGGGACTACAGGCTCATGCCACCACGCCTGGTCTTGGTGGCCTGCTCAGCGCGCCCGGAAGCGGGGTCTGCACGGCATGCAGTACTGGGGAATCGAACCCAGGTCCCTGTGCTTGCCTAAGCAGGTACTTAGTCCACTGAGCCTATTTGGTCTCTCTGAAAACACTTCTTTGAGACTTATTCATTATCAGCTTCATTCTTACATAGAATGAAATGTAATGTAAAATAATGTCTTATATAGTTAATCTAGCAACATAATCAGAAGGCTTTATGTTTCAGTGCAGCATGTTTGTACATTAAAATTAAATATTTATATATTCAAGCTTTCTACCTTTTCTGAAACTCCACTGATGTACACATATAAAACAAAAATACTGAAGATAATAAAGAAAACAAAGTCTGATGTAAAATTACAGTCCAAAACTGAGTATCAATGAATAGTGATACTCACACTTTCACTTTCTGTTGCTTGTTCATTACACCTTCCTACAACAAAAGAAAATGAGAAATGATTTCAGCTGATGAAACCAATGATCTTGTTTCCTTAGCTGACTCTGATCATATTTGTTAGTCTATAAGAGTAACAGCTTCATACTTGTTTGAAATCTCAACAAGCAATGTACCAACACTTAGTACTGTAAAACTTAAATTATGCCACTCTCATGGGTTTGAAGTGGTATCTATGTGCTATTTTAATTTGTATTGTCTGATTCCTAGGGACATAAAGCATCTTTTCATATTTGTTTTGTTGTTTGTTTGTATTTTTTTAGAGAAGGGTCTACAGGGTGTTCAGAGTCTCACTACTAGATTGGACTCGTAGTGATCCCCATGTTTATAGTCTCCCAAGAGCTGGGATTACAGCTGCACGGCCCCAGTCTCAATCACCATCTCAGCATGGCCCAGAGGCAGGGCCAGCACAGCAGGCCTGGGGATCGAACCCCCAGCCCCTGCGCCTGCTTGCAGGCTCTTTAATATGCTGAGCTATTTGGCCAGCCCCATATTTGTTGCCCATGTGAGTTTCTTGTTTCCCAATTGTCTGTTCAGGCACTGTGGCTATTTCTACTGAACTGCTTATCTCTTCCTTATTAATTCACAGCTCTTTACAAAAAGAATATTTTGTGACAAATTGCCTGATTCTAAGTTTAGTTTGAATTATGTTTAGTTCTGATTTTTAAAAACAGAAGAAAAATAAACCTTTAAGTATTGTTCAGTTGTGGCACAGAAAAACAAGATCATAGGAGTAATTTACTACATAAGGGTAGGTAGGAGGAATAGGAGGAAAGTGTGATCGAAGATTCCTTGTGAGGGGTACAGTTTAATGAAGAGAAGGGAGAGAGTGAAAAGGCTGCTAAAATCATTATTTAGGAGAAGCACATGAGACAAAAGTGTAAAAAATATACTAGGGCACTGGAGATCATTTCTAACTAAGAAAACACATGAACAAAAGACTAACAAGAAGTTTCGAGACTAATAGTACATCAGGGCAGGACAACGGCTTACACTGCCAGAGATCTGATTGCTTTTACACGAATTTGTCCAGTCGTCACTTTCAGATGGCGATTCGGAAGCTCTAGAAGAATAGGGAGTAATCATTATTTATCAATTCTACTTTCCAGCAACAGCTTCTTTCTGCACATTCTCCTTAAACATGAAATGCTTTAATAAAAACTGCTCTTTGGGGCAGCAATTCCTCTTTCTCTCTTCCTCCCAGCTTCCTCTTCCCCTCCTACATTTCCCTTCCCTTTCCTTCCCTCCTCCTCCTCCTCCCTCCCCTCCCCCCCCTCCTGATTTGCTTTTGCTGCTGGGATCCAGCTCAGGGCCTTCAACAGACTGGACAAGCACTCTACCACAGAGCTAAACCTCAGCCTCAGACAACAATATTTTTTGAGGCAGGGTCTTGCTAGGTAGCCCAATCTGGCATGGAACTTACAGCAGTCCTCCTGTCTCAGTCTCCCAAGTGCTGGGACTATAAATGCACACCACCACACCCGGCTCAGGTAATGCTTTGAATATGTTCAAACCACAGATCATTTGTCCCACACTTACAATGATTTGGAAGAGCTGTTTCCAGAGTCACAGGACTCAGTAGATGCCTGGGGAGTTTTCTGAAAGAAAAAGTGATCCTCAGCACATGTTATTTATTTTTTATTTACTTTTATTTTTGCTTTTTTTTTTTTTTGAAATGGGGTTGCCTCACTAAGTTGTCCTGACTGGGCTCAAACTTGGCAATCATCCTGCCTCAGTCCCTCAGAATATTGGGATTACAGACATTCCTCAGAAAATGAAAATACACTGTGAGAATTCATAATAGCAAGAGATTTTTAAATGTACAATTAAAATTGAAAGGATTTCCTGGAAAAATCCTTTATGCGTTGTTCAGTATTTTCCTCACTTCTCATTGTTCTCTTCACGGTAGCCAGCTCTCCTCGACAGCAGCAGCGTTCTTGCAGATCATATTCTTCTCATGGACACATTCTTCCGGATTCTGATTTATCATGGTGAGGTAAGGGTCTGTAGCAATTAAACCCCTGCATGGAAGGGTTTCTTTACCCAGCAAAGTTTCCCCTGGTATGATAAGGCTAGTGTTGGGTCTCTAGCTTTAGAGCTAGAATGGAAAGCTTTGATTTCCATTTTTATAAAATATAGATTGAACCTCCCCAGTCTAAAATCCAAAGTCTAAATTCCGGGTACACTAACCTCTGTAACTTTTTGAACACCAATATGACATCACAAATAGAAAATTTCACACTATAAAACTTGTTTCATTCTCAAAATTGTTAAACTTATTTTTTATGTATTTAGTACAGAGTCTACAGGGTCTCGTTACACAGATCAGACTTGTAGTGATCCTCCTGTTTTCAGCCTCCCAAGCACTGGAATGAATTACTGGTGCACGCCACCATGCCCAGTTTCTCATTTGCCATCTCAGTGCACCCCTGGGGCGGGGCTGGCATAGCATGCCAGGGTTGGGGATTGAACGCTGGTCCCTATGCCTGCCTAAGCAGGCCTCAGCACATTGTAAACGTAACCTCTACAGTGGCTCCATCTCAGGATACTAACCATTATATTTATTTTCCTTGTATTTAACCAATTCAAAACACATAAAATGAGTACATTTTTAGATGTTTGATCTGGATTTTACAAACAGCCCTGAGTTGTCAAGAAAACTGGCTCATCGTTTTCTGTACAACTGGCTGTCCTGAAATTATATAAACAGTTTAACCTCTAATCAACTTCAGAGGGAATTTTGAAATATAACAAGGAAGTCTAGCAGAAGCACACACCACCAAGCCTTCTTCTGAAATCCGAGCATATGCATGTTTGGAAGCCAGCTGTTTCGCCTCCTGTTTTGTAGAAGCTGTTCCACAACCATATATCTTCTGATCAATTTTGCATTTACAGTAAAATCTAGGAGAAAAGATAAGAGTATTGATCAAAAATGTACTACTTCTAATGTATGACTTGAAATTAATCATGCTAACATTAATTTATTAACCAGGTTTATATTTTACATCTTATCTCCCCACACAAGCCCCAAATGATCGTTTTTAAACTCCCTAAAGGCCAAGAGATTTAAGGAGGTGAAAGGCCCAGTGAATTTTTCTAAGATGCTCAAAGGGGAAAGAAAAGACTCAAGGTGGGGCTTTCATAGGATGAAGTTTGAAGTTACAGTGTCTTTGGGTGGACGGATGAAAGAAAGATGCATTTTGCTCTAACTTTATTTCCAAATGTGGCTGATATGCACAAAACCCCAAGAGACTCCCCTCAGTGCACCTGCCACCCTATCTCTACTCTCCTCACGTTACATATAAAGACTTTTGTGCTTTAGACAAGTGTCCTTGGACATCCATATAAAATTTTACTTTTGTTTTTGGCGACAAGGTATCACTATGTCATTCACTGTAGCCTCAGACTTGTAGCAATCCTGCCCCAGCCTCCTGAGTGCTGGGATTATAAGCATGCGCCACCATCCCTGGAAAAACTACTGTTAAGGGGTGAAGAAATGCACAACAATTTATGTCATGAAGTTACTATATATTACTACAAAGTTATTCTGGAATTTGCATTTCTTTTCTTTTTTCTTTTTTTAAAAAATTATTATTGTTTTCAATGTATGTAGTACAGGGTCCATAGGGTCTCACTGCACAGATCAGACTCGTAGTGATCCTCCTGTTTTTGGCCTCCTAAGCGCTGGGATTATAGGCTCGCCCCACCTTGCCCAGTCTCAATTGCTGTCTCAGCGCGCCCCGGGGGCAGCGCCAGCAGGGCATGAAGAAAGAACTCCCGGTCCCCTAGTGCTTGCCTAAGCAGTCGCTTTAGTCCGTTGAGCTATCTGGCCAGTCCCTTGTTTTTCAACTGTAGGACACAGTGAAACATCTTTGCGAGGCCCTGAATTAAAGAGCTGGGGTGAATAACAGGATTGTTCCTATTGCTCCTATCTGGTGTGAGATAAACTTCTTTCCTTAGGTAGCTAACACTGAAATGTTTAATCCAAAGGAGCTGAAAAAGTAAACTATGGAAAAATAAAATAGCCTCACTTGTTGAGATTTTCCCACTGAGTTCAATTTTGATTATTTCATTCCAACAATATTATCACATTTTTCTCTCCCTGGCTTGATCCTAAAAGCCATGAGAATAAATGACAAATAGCTGAGTCCATTCATATGACAGTATAGAAGAATGCCAGTTTGGATATTGGTCAGCTAGGGGTTTTTCTTTTATTTAATTGGTTAGTTATCATTTAGATATAATTTCCCTCCCATACATTTAATTTCTGATTTTTCAGCTACAATTCCTTCTTTATCCTACTTCCACTAGCTTTATTTCACAAATGATGTTTTCAGTAGCAACTCTAAGACTCTAAGGCATTGATTTATCTATCATAACACTCAAATCTGCTGTCTTCTCAGTCCAAGGCTAAGACCATTCCTTCTGACATCTGGAATTGGATCAAACACCTCGACAAATAGCTCACTAGTTTGAAATTCAAACTAGTG